AAGTGGGGCTAAGTACTCCACCTTGAGGGGTACCAAGTTGCATATCTTTAACTTCACTTTTGTAACCCTGAAATAGTGCAGCAGCCCTTCTGTTGGTTAGGTAACCACTTATCCAGTGTAACAGCCTACCTCATATATCCATTTTGGCTAGTTCGTACAATATCAGTTGCCTATTGGCAATATCAAATGCAGCTTGTAGGTCAAGAAATGTGGTGTATCTGTGCCTTTCATCACCATGCACAGTTAGGAATGTGGTGATGCAATTATGTACACCTTTACCATGGGTGAAGCCATTTATGTTAGGAGACATGTGTTCTCTGATTCTATATAAGAGTCTGCCAAGAACCATCCTCTCAAAGGTTTTACACAGGCAGCTGGTTAGTGATATGGGACGAAAGGCATCAGGCTGTCCTGGTTTCGGTATTGGTACAACAATACTGCTGGTCCATGATGTGGGTAGTTGGCCCTCGGCATGACTCATATTGTACAATACCAACAATGGATTGCCTGGCACGCGCCTTAGTAGTCTAATGATGTTGTAGGTGACTCCGTCCTCTCCAGGGGAAGTAGACCTACCCCTGGCGAGGGCGGCGTCAAGCTCCCACTCAGTATATGGAACATCACACTCATCGTGCTGTTTGCCCAGCATAAAGCTAATAAGATTACTTCTCTCTACAGACTTTGCATCAAGGAGTCCCCGAGTCCCAGCTGGTAACATGTCATAGCTAGACACATGAGCCCACTTTGTTATTAGCTCATTCGACTTTTGCAGAGGGTTTGGATGGGAGACGTGTCTACTGCTTTTACCTCTGATTGTGTTTATGTCTTTCCAGGCTTTGCTGAGGGATGTGTGTTGGTTCAGGCTGTTGACATATGTCTCCCATGCATTTTGTCTGAGTTCGTTTACACGTTCCCTGACAGCAGCAAGGGAAGCTTGATGCAATATTACCATTTGAGGTGTTCTAATTTGTTTGTAGCACTTACCCAACCTCCTGACCCTCGCCATGAGTTTTTTTTCAGCTGAGGGTCATTATAGCACTGCTGTTGCCTGTTCCCATTATGCTGACCACGTTTTCTCCTTTTTTTGGTGGAGTCATTGTTGGTGAAGTATGTATAAGTCCTATCTATCAGATCGTCATGGAAACTTTGGTAGTTGTCAGGTTAGTAGTCCTTGTACCAGTCATGGATGAAGTCTATGAACTGACTTTCATGTTCTTGCTTGACTGTGATTCTACGTCTGTTGAGTTCACCACCAGTGGGGGTGTCATTGGCTACATGTATACTAGCTTGGATTGGGCTGTGGTCAGACATAAGATCAGTGACAACATCAGAGCTATGAGTTGTGTATGATAGATTAAAACCAATACACTAGTCTAGACCCCCGCCATAGATGTGTGTTGGTTCATTATTACCTATAATTTGAACATCTTCATATGCGCTTAGAAGTGAGATAAGTTTGCTACCATTGGTGTTAGTGGAGGAGTCACCTAATTTCTTGTGTCTAGTATTCAGGTCACCCATTAGAACAGTGGGCTCAGTGTGTAAAAAGTCTGGGAGATCTGTGTACTGAAGCTGATCTGAGGGAACATAGGCGTTTAGCACGTTGAGTGTGGAGTTGCCTAGGTGGATAGTGATCCCATGGTACTGAAGGTTGGTAGTCTTTTTGGATACAAGAGGTACATGCGGGAGTGACTTCTTAACATACATCAAACATGTGTGAGTAGAACTAGGATCATAATACACATAATTGGGCAGACTGGGTGGGGGCTTACCATTAGGTGTGAGACACTCCTGCAGACACACAATATCGATGTCCTCAGTCACAACTTTGTGGTGTAGGTCAGGGTATCGTTTTCTAAGGGATGAGATGTTCCAACTCATCACCTTCACCGCTCTGTATCTTTGTCTGGTATTAACACTGGCCATTATGAAATGTATTTGGAAAGAAGCAAAAGGCACTGTATGATACTGTGCTTTTCTATGCTGCCTGTCCCTTCGGCAGGCAGTAGGCCATTTAACCTTTTTGAAACATTTCTGGAGCATGTGCGGCTCAACAATTGTTGTAAGTCAGTGGCAGACAACAAAACACTTTGGTTACACACGACATCACCACCATTTTCTCTTTGTGTTTGTTCATCTTCACTGACCATGTCCACAGAGGCATCAATAGAACTGTTACCAGTATCACTATTTTCCTCTGCGTAGACAATAGTTCCTGGTGGGTCTTGAGTTTCCACATCTGGTACTGACATCTGAATGTCTTCAGTTTGACTGTAATCTTTCCATAGCTGCTGCACTGTGTTGGTGGTGTTCTTTTTCTGTAGTGTATCACAGAGGCTCTTTAACATATCAGTTTGAGCTGTAAATGGAGCTTTGAGTTCTTTAATTTCATTTTTCAAATCATTGATCTCTTCACGGGGTGTGTTGGCAGCTACCTGTTGTATCGGTACGTCTGTGTTGTCCCATACTGATCTTTCGATGACTGCTGGTGATGATCCTGGAGCTTTGGTGGGTGGGTGGGCCAGGGGTTGGCCGTAGGGAGTACCCTAGCAGCATTACTGTTTCTTGAGACCTGCCTGGGTGGCGGGTCTGGGCGCTGAAGGGGCGTAGGAGCTCTAGGACAGTCATGGTGCCATACAGGAACTCCATATGTTTTGCAGTTAATACACTTGTGTTGAACGACACCCCCTTGAGCAACTGTATCTCTGCAAGCCTGTGTTGCATGTTGTGTTGAGCAGAGACCACACCACGGCTTAGTCGAGGGGCATAACCGGGCCACATGGCCCCGGTGTTGACAATTGCAACACCTACGGGTAGGGGGCTGATAGAGAGTTACCTTCAGAGTCCGATAGGCACCACGGACTCGAATGGTCTTGGGTGGGTCTTCCGAGCCATCCCAGTCTACAATAACCTCGTTCTTGCCCCTGAGTCGCTTCGTCCTTCTGATGTAGGGATGAGCTTCTACTAGTGTAGGGGTCTGGTACTGGTCGAGCCCTATGATTAAGATGGTTTTCTTGCTCGATGGTTGGGATGAGTGTTCCATGGTTATTCCCCTTATGCTATTGGTGAGGAGATTCTGTATGACTGCTGGGTCGCTTCTAATCAGAACATGATCTTGTGTACCGACTCTGAACTGAAACTCAGCGTCTGGGTGTTTGTCTTCCGCATCGTTCAGCCAGAGATACTTGTCTTCAGGTGGTGTACCTTCAGGGAAGTTTAATCTTACTCTCATGGGGGGTTGAGGTTGTAGTTGATGGTCTCTAAGTTTTTCTGCCTTTTCGGCCTTCCGCTTGTTCCTGGACTGAACTAGTTGAAAGCCATCCTCTCCGTTGGTGTCAAGGTCAACACCATAGTCACCTGGCTCCCTCAGTGCGAGTGGCTGGGTCTCCAGTCAACTCAGACATGGAGGAGTTACAGGACTCGACCTATGTGCCTACGTCAGAGGGCCGAGGACTGCTTGGCACTCCAAGGAAGCCAGCGGCGGTTGGGAGGCGTAACCCTCTTACAGGACAAGGGAAACTGGCATCTACAGCGTATCAGCGGTGTGAGGGGAGGCCATGAGCGGGCCTCCCGCGGAGGGAGTGTGGTGTCAGAGTGTAATGACCACGGTCTTACACGTCAGTTAGCGCCAAAAATCAAATGATTCATATTACGCTTAATAGCCCACAAAACATGTAACTCGGCTTTCGTTTGAGTCCTCCATCTGAGGAGTCCGTTTTCTCATCACTTCAAGACACCTCAGTCCTCCGTTATCCCATTTTCTCTGACTTACTGAAACCAACCTCTCTATAAAATGAATTTGAGTGTGAGAGAGAACACCCTTGTTTTGAGTCAACTTAGATATGTCTGTTTACAGTTGGAACATTCAAGATCCATTGTGAGTGGGGTAGAATGCTTCAACTGTCCTTATCGTTAGTAGAACGTGTCAAGTAAGTGAGTGTCGAGTTTGCCAGCTAGAGTGGCGTATTTTATGTCGTCCGTGGGGGTATCCATGAGTTTCTGATCGCGCCTGAAGTTATATCATTTTGTCGCCCCGACATCAGAGAATCTGATGTTTATAGTTTAATTAGTGTCAGTTGTCTATTTGAGAAAGTCATTAATCTCCTGAACTATTCTGTCAACTGGTATAATCTCCAAGATCTAGCGCCTCCCCGTGAATAGCCCCTTGTTCGCCTCAGGCCTGAGCTTGCAGAATTAATGTTATCGACGTGTATATTCCACCTTTTCCTGGCAAGCTCAACCTCTGATTAGATTATATGAATAGACATAGGAAATTACCCTGATCAAGAACACCGGAGTTCATAACTAAGTCTACAGTGATCCAAAATGATAGAGAAGTTATGTTGTTGGTAAGATCGACCCTTCTGGTATGAATAGGGAGGCCCAAGCTGCCCAGCAGGTGCACGTATATACCTCTACACGAGGGAGAATCACGCATTCGTGACTTCCTCAACGTCTCTCCAGGTATGTTAACGTGTGTTCCCCGCCGCCTATTAATTCAGTTTAACTTAGTCAATTTTGGTGAATATCAGTGCTCATGTGTTAACATAGTGAATTCTGTGCCAATTAAGTCGAGTAACGTAGAGATTTAGATATTGTCTGAACCGTTGCCAGGCGTATGTTTTGTATAGTTGAAGTTAGACCTTTACGCATTCGTGACTTCCTCAACGTCTCTCCAGTGTGTTGAGCTGAATACTCATCAGCTAACGTGGGGCGGTAACCGGGTTGGACGATGCCGTTAATTCGACAGGACTGGGGCCGGATACTCAAAACACCTCATAAGTTACGTTTTTCAGCATGATACACTACCATATATTGTGGAAGCCTTACAGTACCATAAATTTAGCATACTCAAAATTTAATTATGGTTCCGTAAGACTTCCGTAAGTTCTCGTAACTCTTGTGTTTACCCTGTAAATTAAGTTCTCTTGTCGGACGGTAGATGTCAGTGTAGATGCTAGTTGGCCAATCAACGCTCAGTTAACAAAATCATCAACCAATCACAAGAGAAGGAGAAATCAGCTGAGAGCGACGCACGTAATATTATTTTGTAAACATGGAAGGACCACCAGCCAAGATGAGACGGCCTAATTTCAGTGAGGCTGAAGTATACGCTCTTGTGACTGAGGTAGCCAAACGAAAAGAAATGATTTTAGGGAAGTTGGACTCAAGTAGTTGTACACTTCAACTCAAAAACCAGCCTGGGGTGAAGTGTTAAATGCTGTGAATGCTGTTGGTAGAGTCACCCGCAATGTTACTGAAATTCGGTGGAAGTCTGATCTTCGTGTTAGCGTTAAGAAAAAAGCAGCACAAGATAAGAAATATGCTGGTGGAACAGGTAAGTCATAATATTGTTAGCGTGGTTATTGATTGACAATATGAAACAAACTTAACTATGGTTTTTCTGAGGCTTGGTACGATTTTACGTGTTTGTAAACTCAAGGAAGCAAGTAGTGTGGTGGCTCTCCATCGTGAATGAATACACATATTTTCCTTATATGAACACATTCATTAAAAGAAATATCGTTCTTCGAAGTTTTCCGTGTGAGTAAATAGTAAAAACTTTACCGTTCAACCTAAATTTTTTTTTTCTTTTTACGTGGATTAACCAACCCAGGCACAGTCACTGACCCACTTCGGGGCCTGTAATAATAATTCTTTAGTACTATTAATAAAAATACCTCTTTATAAATAATAATATTAATAACAAATAACCATAAATACCGAAATGAAAACACAAAAAGTGAGAATCAATATACAGTATGTATGTTGTGTTGTCGATATTACGAGAAACAATTGCGACCCTGCAATTGTGTGTAAATGACACATTTAGTCAGATCAGCAACCTTAGACTTGCTCCTAATTTTCGTGATGCCATATGGCAGCAGGGTCTACCATTAGACAACACATTATGCTTCCAATATCTTCCCAGGCGGTAGTCAGGGAAGTCTGTACTACTGTTAATAATTTCCCCACAACTTTTGGATTTTCTTATTATACCTATCATCTAGATTACACAATTTTAAGACACACTTGTCATTGTGTCGCAACTGACGTGGAACAGAGATAGTTAATATGAGTTTGTGTGGCAGGGCGGCGGAGGCCTCCCGTTGGTAAAGGAAGCTAGGTTAGGTAGGTTTGGTTACTGTTATAAACTACATATTAATAATTACGTTATTTCCGACGGTAATGAAGGTCATAATGTATAAGTTGCCATAGAATTCCTTTTTTTATGTCGTTAATTTTCATTCATCAATAGATTTATATTCATATTTGATATACATTATTATGTAAATTTTACTTTGTTAGGCTTATAGGCAAGGATGTTCTATCCTATGAGTTTACAACTAATACAGGTTGAAAATTTCTGGCTGCGACTATTTTTTTTGACTTATTTTACCATTTATTGTTTGTTACCTTAAATCTAATTAACTTTTGACATAGATAAAGGAGAATTTTTGTGGCTACAGCTACAATGATAGGTTAGGTTATAATGTTTGGAACTATTTCAGTAGATTCCTTTGTAACTATGATTTCTGCCAAATATAACATAGTTAGCATATAGTGTATGTAACCACAGCTCACAGTAAGACAGTTATTATTTATATTTTCTCTTCAAGGTGGCGGCCCCCAAATTGAAATTACATACACTGCAATTGAAGAAGCAATTCTTCAACTATTAGATCCAGCCTCTATACAAGGATTCCAGGGGATGTTGAAAGTGAAGAACCTATTAATGGTAATTCAGTCAAAATACTTTTCCAACCCCCTGATATATATTTTGTTCTTTTCTGTCCTTCTTTTTATTTAAAAAAAACTTTTGGAGACATTTTTTCACATCTTGATTTGGAAATACTGTACACTATACTGATTTTTTATATAATTTTGAAAAATAACAACACTAGTAAGTTGGTTTCATTTCTAGCTTGTTTATTGCTTCCCTAAGTTATATATTAAATGTTGTTATAACTCGTATGTTAATGGACAAAATTGAGAAGTGCAAATATAAGAAATTTAACGCCTAGTTGATATTTAGATTTAAAAATATTTTAAACAAATATATTTAGATGGTCAACACTATTTTTCAAACCATTATTTTTCCTAAAAGCTTTTGTATATTTGGAAATACAGTGTAATATTTTAATTATACTCTTAACATAGACTTCAATCAACCTATTATACTACATTTCTTTCCAGAAGAAGAAAGAGAACCAACCCCCGGACCCTCAGGAGCTAGGTTTACAGCTACCGGTAGTTGTTTCCGAGAGGAATTTATGTTTCGGCCCGTTCAAGAGAAAGATGATTCTATAACCCTCATTCTGAATGAGGATATACAGGAACATGATATCACAGTACCCATTGTGCATTTAGAACCTGAAACTTCAGCACCTACAAACATTCCTGGAATTTCATCATCCGGAACATATGAGGTAGAAACATGTAGTTCAAGCAATACTCGTCAACCTATTGCTGCTACCACGGAACAGCGAAGTAGGTCTAGTACCCCTTCTGCCACAGCTGTTAGGTCAACTGTAACTGGTGATTCCACTGATGAAATGGGTTCATCTCCAATGCCAAGTACGATCAGAAGTGGCAGGAGGCCACGAACCTCTTCTGCCCGAAAAGATGAAGATCTTCTTCGAGAGATGCTTCGTGTTCAAACACAAATGAGGGACAGTTTTTTACAGCTTGTAGCAAACACCGAGTGCATTGCATCTGCAATGCTATGCATTGCAAGAGTTATGCAGTCGAAAAATCCTATCCAATGATGCTGTGTTTATGGTATGTGTATATGTAGTTGTTTACATGAAAATGTAACAGGAATATTTAGCTCTCCATAAGTTCATTAAAATCATGAAGTTAAGTGAAGGACACACATTTGTCAACTAATAACATGTGTTGCAGTGCTACTACGGGTAATGTTTACCCAGGTTTTGGGTAAAAGTTCCTACCACACTCAAAATTATATGTTTGAAAAGAGGCTCATGTACTTATTTTTATTTTTTAAAGGTTCCTTTATTTTGTAAGACGTAGTCAATTTCCAGTTCAACGAGTTTTATTTATTAGTTTGTAGTTTGCGAAGTATGATTCAAGTAGGTTGAAACAGAAATA